ATTTTCAATCACCTCATATGCATGCAAAAGCTGGACAGTGAATAAGGAAGACTGTAGAAGAATTGATGTTTTTGAGTTGCGGTGTTGGAGGAAAGTATTGAAAGTGCCATGGGCTGCCAAAAGAACCAATAGATCCATTTTGGCAGAAGTACAGCCGGAGTGCTCCTTAGAGGCCAAGATGGCCAAACTTTGTCTCTCATACTTCGGACATATTGTCAGGAGGGACGAATTGCTAGAGAAGGATATCATGTTTGGTAAGATGGAGGGTCAGATAAAAAGAGGAAGATCCTCAACGAGATGGACTGGGCAAGTGGCAGCATCTATAGACTCAAGTGTGGCAACTGTAGTGAGGTTGGCCCAGGATCAGGCAGTGTTTTGTTCTGCTGTGCATAAGGTCGCTATGAGTCAGTATCGACTTGATGGCACCTAACAACAACAACAACAACCCAAAAGATGAAATATTTAGGAATATATCTAAACAGAGAAACAAAAGACTTATACAAAGAAAAGTACAAAACACTACTATAAGAAAACAAAATAAATTTACAAAAATGGAAGAATATACTCTGTTCATGGATAGGAAGACTTAACATTGTGCAAATGTCAACACTACCCAAAGCAATCTATAGATATAACAGAATTCCACACCATTCTTTAAAGACATGGAAAAATTTAACACTAATTTTATATAGAAAGGAAAGAGACTTCAGATAAGCAAAGCATTGCTTCAGGAAAAGAACAAAGTTGGAGGCCTCTCACTCTCTGATCTCAAAATTTACTACACAGCCACAGTGGTCAAAACAGGCTAGTAATGGTACAACAAAAGAAATAATAGATCAGTGGAACAGAATTGAGAAAGCAGAAGTAAATCCATCCACATACATTCAACTGATCTTTGACAAAAGGCCAAAACACATTAACTGAAGAAGAGATAGTCTCTTCAATAAATGGTGCTGGCAATATTGGAAATCTGTTTGCAGAAGAATGGAACAAGACTCATATCTCACACTATCTATAAAAACAAGCTCAATATGGATTAAAGATTAATTTCACTAACAGATTCATCCATGTTATGGTTCACAGATTCTTCATTATTTTTCACCATTGTATAGTATTCCATTGTGTGTATGTACCAAAGTTTGAGGTTGTCTCCATGTTTTTGTTACTGTGAATATTGCTTGGATGAACATCAATGTGCATATATTTACTCATGCCCTGACTTTTAGTACTTGTAGATATATACCAAGTAGAGGGATTGCAGGGTCATAATATATTTCTACTTCTGAGGAAGTGCCATACAATTTTCCAGTGACCACTTTTCAATCCCAGCAATAATGTAGAAGGGTCCCAGTTTCTCCATACAATCGCTAGAATTTATTGTTTTCTGTCTTTTTTGAACTTTACTAATAATGCTGGTATGAAAGGATAGCTCATCATTGGTTTGAACTGCATCTCTTAATTGGCTAATGATCCTGAACATTTCTTCATAAGTTTGTTGGCTATATGAATGTCTTCCTTGTTAAAATGTCTGTTTATGTCCTCAGCCCATTTTTTAATTGGGTTGTTTGTCTTTTTCTTGTAGAGGTGCTGTAGTTTTGTATGATTAGTCCCTTGTCTGATATGTTCTTGAAAGATAGTTTTCCCAGTCCATGGGCTTCCTTTTGACTCTTTTGATGAAATCTTTTGATGTACTTAAGTACCTGGTTTTTAGGAGGTTCCAGTCATCTATTTTGTCTTCTTCTGTTTGTGTGTTTTCAATAATGTTTGAGAGTGCATTTATGCCATGTATCAGAGTCCCTAAGTTTGTTCCTACTTTTTCACTGGTGATCTTTAAAGTTCAAATTAGAGATACACTCATGATTCAGTATTCACATTACAAGTTTATTCTTCCAGTGATTGAGTATAACATAAATCCTTTTGATTACTATTAAGGTTAGTTCATTAATTATGGAAAGTTGGAACATTGCTATTTTGTATTCCACAGAGGGAGAAAAACCAAATTGGCACCCTTCACTTTTTATCTTTGAGTTTTTAATTTATAAAAGTCTAAATCAAGGTCTTTCCCATTCTTAGGTCAGAGCAGGGAGGGGAAACCCAATGAATAGTGCCATAAAACTAGTAGCAGTTTGGTAAACATTAATGAGGATTTGATCATTTTAATGTTGACTTTATTACTATGACAGATCTGAATATTAAACTTAATGAGTAGTAGGATAATCATATAATGAAAATAAATATGGAGTAAAGAATTGCTGTTGTTGTTAAGCGCTGTCAAGTCCGTTCCAACTCACAGTGACCCTGTATAGGGTTTCAGAACAACTGCTGGTGGGTTTGAACCGTATGATTAGTTGTCCAGTGCTTAAACTATAGTGCCACACCCAGGACTCTAACAAATTGCTAAGTAATTAAACATTGTAGATAGAAATGAAACTTTAAAATTTAAAAAATAAAGTTCATATTATTGGTTATTCATTTGCTCTATTTAGTGATACAGCAAATATAGAATAAGCGCTGGACCACAAGGTCGGTTTGATCTGCAAGGCCAGCAATTCAAACTTACCAGCCATTCCTCAGAAACCTTACATAGGGTCACTATGAGTCAGAACCAACTTGACGGCACTTAAAAACAACATGTATGTGTGGAATACCTGAAGCTTACAAATGAGGAGCTAGTGCTTGTTGACTGTAGAATGTGCCTTCTCTCACTACTATTCTACTTCCTATTTACCATCCTCAAGGAGCTCTGGTAGCATAGTGGTTACGAATCGGGCTGCGAACCTTAAGGTCAGCGGTTCAAAACTACCAGCCGCTCTGCGGGAGAAAGATGAGGCTTTCTACTCCCGTAAGGATTTACACCCTCGGAAACCCTGTACAGGGTTGCTATGGGTCGGAACCGACTCGACGGCACTTAACAACAACAACAACATTTACCATCCTCATTTGTGTCAGACCTTTTCTTCTGAAACATATAGACATTATATGCACATTTCCCTCCTCATTTAAACAAATTCTGTTTTTGCTGATGATATAAATGCCAATGATCTTATTATATCTTGTTATTCTTCAAACAAAGTTGTCAATTTGAGGACTAAGATGCGCCTGACCTAGGTCATGGTATTTTCAATAGCTTCACATGTATGTGAAAGTCAGATCATGAAAAAGGAAGGCCATAGAATAACTGATGCATATGAGTTATGGTGTTAGAGAAGAATATTAAAAATACCATGGACTGCCAGAAGAACAAACAAATCTGTGTTAGAAGAAGTACAGCCAGAATGTTTCTTAGAAGCCAGGAAGGCAAGATTTCTTCTTTCATACTTCAGATTTATTATCCTCCTGGAGAAGGACATTATGCTCGGTAAAGTAAAGGGTCAGAGAAAATGAGGAAGACCCCTAACAAAATGGACTTGTAAAGTGTCAGCAGCAATGGGCTCAAGCTGCTCAAACAATGATTATAAGGGTTACAGCAGGATCAGGTAGTGTTTTGTTCATTGTACATAGCTTGCTATGAGTTGGTACAGACTCAACCGCACCTAACAACAACTAATCTTATTATATGTGAAACCTATCCTCTTATTAATTTTCAAAATCTAACAACATCATAATTCAGCCTGACTGTAAAATATTTAACCAGTTAGAAACTGGATTGAGAAGAGTGCCAGGTATGAATTGCTCAAGAAGAGCACCAAACATTCACTTTGAAAAATGGTATTTTATATACAGAAACATAGCAGCAGTAACATGAGAAGAGCAGGCAGAATATGAGTGCATTCAATTTGCATGCAGGCCGTGGACCTCTGAAGCGGTATTAAAGGATGAGCCAGGGTGGATTAATTTCCAGTCTTTGATATTCATTAACTCCAGCTTCAGGAAAAAATACAGGGAGATGACACAATTACCCTCAGTGCTTCACCCGTGAGCAGCAGCTTTACAACCTCAAGTTCATCATGCTATACTAATTGATCAAGAAGGGCCACCTGCCTTTCCTAAAAGGTGAAAAAGTGTATGGATATAAGTCTGGCAGTGACAGAATTTGGCTCTAAGATAGTCAGCTGCACTTAGGAAACGTTTAACACAATAGTTGTCAGTATTTGTGCTCTAAGTCACCTGTCAATCACCAGTCCTCCATGGTTTTCAATATTCCTCTGCCAAGTAAAACCCAATTTGACCTAAAGGTAATGGTGGCCAAGGTACAATGTCCATTCTTTTAGAAGAAAGTAGCATTTAGTCTCATCATTGCATCTCTTTCTTTTGGATCATGAAGTCTTTGAAATAATTATTCTTAGGAAATAAGTCAATAAGTAGAAAAAGTTTAAGATTAGAAGGAAAAACTGAAATTATTAAGTGGTCTCAAATTACTTCTAGAACCAGATGGTGAGAGGAAAAGAGAAAGCTAGATCATGAGAAACAGCAATGTGTTTATCGTTTCTAAGAAGGAACATCTACCAGCTTCTTATTTACCTCTGGTGCTTCAAAGAGTTCAGGGTCATTGTGTAAGGCTGGAGGAAAAATGACGACCAAGTCTCCCTTTCTCAAAAGGCATTTTCCAGATTCTACAGGTAGAGCAAAATCCTCTTCAACAAAACGAAAGGTGGCTGAAAATGAACTCAGTCGCAGAGCCTCAAGAACGATGCTTTCTAAAGGAAATAAACAAATGAACACTGAGATTATTATAATGTGACTACTACTGAAGGTCTTGGGTAGTACAAATGATTAATGCTCAGCTGCTAACTGAGCACTGGTGTGGCACTGTAGGATAGTCACTGGGCTGAGAACCTCAAGATCAGCAGTTGCAATCCTCCAGCTGTTCTGGGAAACCCTTTACAGGGTCACTATGAGTTAGAACAAACTCGATAGCACAAAACAACAAATGAAAGGTTGACAGTTTAAATGCATCTAGAGGACTCTCAGAAGAGAGGTCTGGTTATAATCCATAAAGATGAGAGCTAAGAAAATGTTTGGAGCACAGTTCTACTCTGTAACACACGGGGTTCCATGATTCAGAATAGTCACAAGGATGACTATTATTTTATTTTTTTTAATTCCTAAAAAGTGCTCTCTATTTCCTATTAAAGCTCATTTCAAAAGGAAAAGTTGTTCTTAATCATCTCTGTTGAGCACTGATAAAGGGCCATGAGCTAGGGATTAGGGGGAGTTAGGAGAGGTGTGGGGAGACGCTGCACCAAAATAGCTTGCAGGCACTTCGCAGTCAAGAGGCAGCATTGCTGTGCTTGAGCAGAAAGTCATTAATAAGAATTTTTGTAAGAAGGGTCTGAATGGGAAGAATGCTGTGTTATGGGTACAGTCATTACAACAGTATTGCTGTACGCTGTTGGTGGGTTATGTCACCAACCTTCAGAACCATGGCACCTTTAAAGCCGGACTTAGTCATTTAATAACCACTTAGGCAGTTAATAGTAAAGTAATTGTAGCAGTGCTTCTGAGACAGCTTAACACTTAATTTCTTTTATGCTAGCTGTAAATAAAATATGAGTGAGCATTTGCTGGAGAATTTTCAAAGGGAAAATACTTTAATAAGATTCAGTAGAAAACAATATTTTCCTCAGCATCCAAAGCCAATAACAGCCACCATCATCTCCTGGAAGATTCCAGAAGCTGAATGTCCTTGCTTTCCCAGTGGCCTTCACCTTTTGCTCCTAGCACGACAGATTTTATGGCTAATTTCCGGCAATTTATCCTGGCAGTTTGAGGAGGAATTCCTTTGGGAATAATATGCATAATTTGCATAAATCATTCTGATAGCATGCATATCAGCATGTAGCTCCTGTCTAAGTCTGCATCTCTCTCTTCATAATCAAAACTGACTATGTTTCCACCAGCGTGAATGGGCCCTGGAATATAAAACTTGATTCTTTTTAATCAGCACCGTGAAAAAGAGCTCCAAATTGAGTCCCCTTGCCCCGGCCCCATTTCACATTGTAACAAATGGTGGGTTTATGGCTTGTAATTTAGAAATATCACACACAGACGCACACATGCACACACAGTCTTGAAACACAGAGTACCCAACATTTATTAGAGTATTAAATGTAAGCTTTTCACCCAAGACTTGCCTCAGCCCCTAAAATAAAGATACATGCTAGTTTGCTAACATTTAAATCTATTTAAAACTTCACAGGAAGTTTTCCCTTTAGCCAACGACATTTGTCTAGAGAAGAGACATCACCATCTCTGTGGACAGTATGGTTATTCAATGTGATGTACATATTCTTTCGGACTGCCTTTGTTGCGATCATCAGGCAGAGTCAAGTTGGCCTGTTGGTGATGAGGCCAGAAAGTACTTTGGTTTTGGAACATGGACTACCTTGCAGACAGTCACAAGCCACATGACACAATGTATTTCAACTGGTAGTTAACTAGCTGCCCAAATTTCCATGGTACAATGCAAGGGTTGGCATCCCATGAACCTCGCTGGCTCTGTTGGATAAACAATAGCAAAGCATCACTTTATTTTGTGGTGTAAAATCATTGCTGACATATGTAGGAGTGCTGGTCACCCAACAGGTCTTGTAGAAGTATGGGGAAAGAAATGCAAAATCAAAATAATTGTGGGGTGGCTGCTTTGAAAGGGTAGTCATTTAACAGTCTAAATTACATGGTCACATCCTATTGGTTGACGAGCTTGCGGGAAGCATGGCAGCTTGTGCCCACTGCAGTATCACAAATGACAATTGGGCAAGCATATCTTATGCAGAAGTTAATCACAATAATGGAGCACAAAGTGTGTCTTAGTGGTCAGATCGTAAATGACAAATCTGTTTTCCCTTCCAGTAGCAGTTATGTGTGCAAGGCAGACTTGGCTCTTGCTCTGAGCGATCATGCCGATAATCATTAGATGACAAAAGTAATGAGTTGCGTTATTATCAACAATGAGGAGTGGGGCTTGGGTGGAACTGCAGTGTAACACACAGACACAAAAGCAAGCAGCTTTTCCACTAGCCCCAGCATGAATGCGGGCAGCGCTATATGTTGAGAACAATGACAACTGCACAATAAAACATTGCAGCCTCTACTTGTCGTTGTCATAGTTGAGCAGACACCAGCCAATGCCACTGACAGACCAGCTGGGCCCTGGGAGGGTTTCCATGATGCACCAGGAGGTACAGTAAATTATCCTGCACGGTAGAGCAACATCTGTTTCTGTGCTAGTGCCGAACAAACAAGGCAATTTAAAATATACCAAGGGATAACCAAACAACAAATGAACATGACCCTCATTTTCTTCCCCCTTCTCATACACAAGGTGCTACACTTCACTGTGCAAACACTCCATGAAAGAGAAGCCAGGTTGCTATTTGATAAGGTGTTGTCAGAGAGATTGTATATATTTCTAAAATGGAAAGAAAGAAAAAAAAAAAAGCTTATAGTATTGTTATTCTTAGAAACTCCCCCCTTCTATCCTCATTTCTTTTATATCAAAGCTAGCACTCAATTTGCTCTAGAATTTAAAAAAAAAAAAAAAAAAAAAACCTTTCCATATACTTATAAATATTCAGTCTTTAAACCTAATTTGCTATACTTAGTTCACATGCCTTCAAGCATTTGTCTTCCAATTTCCACTGAATAAATGCGTACTAATGAGAACTAGAGCAAGCTGCTGAGGCAAAGCTGGGTGACTTGGGTCTGGCCTGCCACCAGCTTGTGATAGGCGGGCAAATTGAGTTAAAATGAAAAGTCTTGTCAGCTGAAATTCAACATGGTGGCCAAACAGCAAGCTGTCAATCATCCAGCCAAAACAAGGGACCACAGGTAATAAAAGGTCATTGTAAGTCATTAGTGTACTTGGCTTTCATATGCAAGTTAATTTTAATTAAACATGATCTCTTATCTGTAAATATTTTATAAAACTTATTGTGCATAATAGATTGTTAATTTATACTAACACTTAGCAGGTAACAGGACCCTGTAGTTATTAGAATGCATTGTAGAAAAACTACTATCCAGAATGCAAATATTTTGGGGGATCATTTACACCAGGCATTGCAAGGTCCCAACAATTTCCACTATGATTAAGACAAGTTTGCCTGAGCTTTATGAAGAAATGAGCTTCACTGATCAGTATATGTACACAAGGACACTGAATTACAAATGTCCCACAGTGAACTCACAATTCAGTGCTTGCTCTACCTTCTTCATCTGTCTAGGAAAGATTTACTTCCTTCTTTAGGACAGAACATCATTCAGGATAAGTATTCCTTTAAGCAAAAATCTGCGGAACATCTTGGGGCTATGACGCTTTATAGCATGACTGCAATGGAAAATGGTATATGAAAGGAACCTGGGGCAAAGAAAGGGGTATAGGCTTTCTCTCCTGACCTCAGATCTCAATTCTGGCTGTGGTAAATGATAGATGATTCTCATTTGCATATTTAAAGCACCAGAGCAGCTCACGACAATCAATATTGCATGTTACAACGCACACAAACAACAAGCATATCCGGGTTTCTGCCTGATACTTGGGCCATGACAGTGTATGTGGAATGAATGTACTGTGACATGGCCAGGCTGTTAATTTGGGCCACCTTAATGATTGGTACAGACTGTCAAACCATCTGATTAGCCATGGCGATCAGTGGATAGCAGCGATGACTGGAATTAAAGGAACAGTCATGCCATGTGGCAGTGTGCTAGGGCCACAACTTGGACAGTCTTGAAAAGAACAACAACTTTTAGCCAAGAGCCATCTGATGTCAGCAATGATATCCCTCATTCCACATCCTCTTCTGAAACTGTCTTGAACCTCTGGTAGTTCTCTGTCAATGTATGGTTGCCACTGTTTTTGGAATACCTTTTGTTGTTGTTGTTGTCAGGTGCCATCAAGTCGGAACCGTCTCATAGTGACCCCATGCACAGCAGAATGAAACAATGTCTGATCCTGGGCCAACCTCACTACTGCTGCCACACTTGAGTCCATCAATGTTGCCGCCTGGTCAATCCATCTCATTGGGGGTCTTCCTCTTTTTCTCTGACCCTCCATCTTACCAAGCATGATATCCTTCTCCAGTGACTGTTCCCCCGAGACAATATGCCCAAAGTATGAGAGACGAGTATCTTTAATAACATTTTATTCATATGGGTATCAATCATATTGTTAGATGATTTCTGCATTCTGTTGGGTCGTCTCTCTTTGGAATGAGCCAATTACCTCAACGTACCTTGGACTTCTTCATTCAGGATCTTTGGGTCTTGATCATATACTACCTTTTGAAATGGCTGAACATTGACTATTTATTTTAGGTACAGTGACTCTGCGTATTCCTTCCATCTTCTTTTGATGCTTTCTGCATCATTCAATATTTTGCCCACAGAATCTTTCAGTACTGCAAGTAGAAGTTAGAAGTTTTTTCTTCAGTTTTCTTAGCTTGAGAAATGCTGAGTGTGTTCTTCTCTTTTGGTTTTCTAACTCTAGATCTTTGCATTTTATTTTATTTTATTTTATTTTATAATATCTGACTTTGTCTTCTCTTGAGCTGATCTTTGAAAGTGTATCTTCAGCTCCTCATTTCTTCCATTTGCTTTAGCATCTCTATGCTGTAAAGCAAGTTTTTTTTTTCTTTAAAGTTTTATTGTGAATTGAGTAATAGTTTAAATGGGAGAACATCAATTTTACACTAAT